TATAGCATTTCTTTAGCGTTAGCTATCAGATACCCGTGATGGTAAATACAAAATTGAACCAACTCTATTTTTATGAATATTACTAAACTGTCGCGATAGAATTCCTGACTTTAATTAAAAAATAAAATTCTTTCATCGATCCCATGATCCCATTATCGTGCTAAAAATGTGTTCAAAATTTTACTTAGTCATGATTTATGAAAGACATATTTATAAAGACTCCATTTCTAACAACTCCGCATTTCTACTGTAGAAATGTTGCAGATTCCGATTCTTTTGCGTTAGAAAAGAATAATAGCTAGCTAAATTAAAAATGATGGAAAGCAATAATGTTGTACGCAATAATTTCATATGATCATTTTAACAAGAGTCAAACTTGTTTACGAGTAGAAGCAGGTGCTGAAGAAATTCCATTAATATTGCACTAGATTATTGTCTAATAGGATGTCACTTTTAATACACAACTATTGTATTGGATAGCGTTCTAGCATTACATAATAAAAGTCACGCTTATATTGCTAATTTAAGCGTGAAAGATGATCCCATAGTGATGTCCAGCTGTCTATTGATCTTTTAAATTATTTCCGTATATAATTTTATGTATTTTATAATATTGCTTTCTATTGACTTTATTAGATACTATTGCAAATGAGAAATTGCAATCCTACTTTAATAAAAAGGATTATACTGTATTAATAGTCTACTTTTTATTCCAAACAGAGAAAGTCTCGATTCAAATTGCTCAGGTTAATTTTTTATAATAGCATAGTCTTAAAAAATAAAATAGACGTTTTTAATGGAAATAGATTGCAATTTTTGTTTTTTGGGATTATTTCCATTAATGAATGTATTTTGGTAGCCATATTTAAAACGGAAATTTGCTGTTTTAAATTGAATTAAAATAATAAGCTATCTCTTTCTTTTTCTATGCTGGCAAGATGTAAAAAATTTACTATATCGTCAACTGCCGTAATAGATAAATGTTGACTGTACAATATCCTTCATTTATTTTACTTAGGTAATTTCTACTCAAATATCTTTACTTCGTTACTTTTTACTGCATTAATAAACAACTAAATCGATATGTTACTTCATCATTGTAGCTACATTTATTAATAATTGAGTTCAGAATAATCATACAATGGAATAATGAACGTATAATAGAGAAGTACCTTTTACGAGTCATATTTTAAATATTTTTTATATATGTTCAGTATGATTATATCGATATATACACATCTGGCATAGAGGATCTATTCAATAGCCATTAACAATAGAGGTTATAGAATAACAAATTAGCTATATTCATTCGGGTAGCATTCATATGTTTACCTACTAAAAATTTTAAAGAATTAATAAATAAACTGGGCTAGAATTGATTTTCTTTCAATACGTGGTAATCGCTATGTCTAATAGAATCAATAAAGATATAGCAAACTAACCATATCTATTAAAGTAATAATCATATACTGTAATTACTTGGTAAATTTTAAAGGATTAAAATAGAAAATGAGGTGTAATTAATTTTCTCAATATAAGGTAGCGCTGTATAAAATAGATACTGTCAAATAGACTCCAGATTAAAATAGAGTAGATTTAACACGAATTAACTATAAAATAGTCGGCATAAAGTTATTAAGATAATAATCAGTAAGCTTTAATTAATTCGAAATCGAGAAATTGCGAGAATTTTATATTGATACCAGAATTCTTCTGGTCATCCTAGCAGTAGTGATCAATAAATTGTTAGTTTTATCAAGGAATATCCTTTCTAGCATATCCTATCATGACTAGAAGCAAAACAAGAATAGGTTGATTACATTGATGAAGAATAACGGGGGAAATTTAATATTTTTAATAGGTGATAGAGGAAATGAGCTACGGAAACATCTGTGCTTATTATACGAGATAAGAAAAGAACAGCAAACCTAATAAACAGGAAATAAATAATAGAAAGAACAAGTTATACAGAAATAACTCGAACATATAAATTCAAGAACAGAAAAATACTTGATAAGTATATCGAAATCAAATTATACTGATGGTTGATAGATAAATCGTTAGGAAATGATTTCTTTTCTTTTCATATACGGCTTTCTTCGTTCACATAATCAAATCGTAATATGCACCAATAAGTCAATCCATAATTAACCGATATTAATTAAAATAATCGAAATGGCTACTAAATATTACAGTACGACCTATAAAGTAGATGGTTGAATTATTACAATAAAATATTAGAACTTCTAATCATCATTTATGCTAGTAGATTGTACATTCATAAAAGTTTAGTTGTTAGGCAAAAGAAATATAAGATCCTGTTATTTATCAAGTAAGCTAGCGACGGTTTAAGGAACTGTTGAATAGGATGCAATTATAACTATACATGTTATTTAATTTAACAAATTATTGCGTATTCTTTGATTAGTATCTCGAACTACTTATCAGGATTAATTTCGCATGAAAACTGTAAATTTTTTCTAAAATTTTAACGGCAAAAACGATATAGACTTCTTCTGATGCATTAACGGTTAAATAAGGAACTCTATTTATTTAAAAAAAATAAGTCATTTTTATATCTTTTATCTATATTTGCGAGTAGCCGCATACTAATAAACAATATGGCAGTCGCGTATTCTTAGACCTAATTTTGTACCTAATTTTGTATCACTTTATGCTTTTGTCACGGTACGAACTACTGTGAAGAAATAGCTACCTAAATTTGG